GAATACGGAATATTAGAAGAAAAAACGTACAAATGTCAGTATTAGTTATGTAATGCTTAAACATTCTTTCTTTTTTAATTGAACTTCACTGATTATCAGTGCTAAGTATGCCATTGGATAATTAATTACTATCCACTGATTCAGATTTAGAGAGCAGAAGAAATACTATTGTTGTTATATTTATAAGATATTTTATTTTAAATATCTAAATTTTAATTACAAAAATGCTTCTACCACGCATTTTATAAATTTATATAGCTATTCGACGAAGGAAATCATTTATCATTCGCACTTTGGTATTTTTTATGTCCTACATTTTTTAAATTTATTTGCCTCTTTTCTACGTAACATAATGTTTGAGACAATTCCAAGAGCGGAAAGCTATATAAAAAATAGTTTTCAACTCGTAGATGGGCTCAGAGAAATACATATAGATGACAATTATAAATTAATTTTTTTAGATGTGATTTTACTTTTTACAAACATTCCTACATAGCCAGACATAGCCTTAGATTGTGTTAATGACAACTGGAATTTTATTTCGAAAAAATATAATTTACCTAAAAAGGAGTTTTTAATTGCAGTTCGACTAATTTTAGATTCGACTTATTTTTTATTTGATAATATTATTTACGAACAGAATTTTAGCATGCCCATGGGCTCTCCTTTGTTATCTATTATTGCTGATTTGATAATGCAAAGATTAAAGAAGAGGGCATTGAGTATAATGTTTAAGGATCATGTGCTTTTTTATTTTCGATATGTCGATGACTTATGCACTGCGATTCCATCATCTGAGATTGTTACTTTTCTGGAATGTTTCAATTCGTTCCATAAATGTTATGAATTAAATATTATTTTGGATTAATGTATTAATTATAGGACAAATTTTTTTGCACTTATAATTATTACATATTAAAATTCTTTGACTTTCAACGTCATCGTATTATATAACAAATAAATGAAATGCAATTTGTAAACATATTCTTTCTATTAAAAAATGAACACCATAAATATTGTAATACTTCTCTTAATATGAATTCTTCTTAACTACAGTTAGAATTTTATAGCCTTTTCCGCGGGACGCGGGAATATAACATATGGGCGCTTTTTTCAACAGCATAATCAACTTGCAACTTTTTATTCGCAAATGTCTCACACAAAGTTCTTGGAAATTTGATGAAAATTTGAAACAAGAATTAACGCAGATTTAAAACTTCTTGTTATAAGTCGATCGATTATTTGATACTTTCAAGAAGAAATATTAAGGGTATGCGAGAAATGTTTTTTACTGTTCAGGAGGTAACATCGATTCATGAAAAAGGCAAAGCCGTCAGTCTTCAGAGAACACTGGACATGAAAAGGTTGAAATATGACCGAGGTACTATATTATAGTCTTGATCATTGTAAATAAAAATTTTAAGAACGTATTTACTTTACTTGCAATATTTACGCGCAAAGAGTGAAAGTATTTGTAATAATAATAATTTATGTCTTATTATCATCATTAACAGAAATTATGAATTATTGCTTTTTATAGTGTATCGTGTTTTTTATTAATATCTGAATTAATCTTAATATATGGAGCATCATCCCAAGTGTGTCACTCGTTTTGGATTTTTGATTCGGCTGAAATTTTGATATATTATAGTATCCATCGAAAGAAACTACTATAATTAAAAAAAATTTTTTTTTTAGTTTAAAGTAAAAAATTATCAATTGTATAAATTAATCGAGCTCTCAATATTAAAAACAATATTACAAAAACAATACGCAACTAAGAGCTAGTACACAGTTATTATTAATGTACGTATTCTTCTTTATTCTTCATCTGTACATATATTTCCGACGTTTCGGTTGCTTTTTTCAGCCATCTTCATGGTATAACAGAGGCTTAATAATCCAAAATTTAAATGCAATTATTCTGAATGTAGGCGCAATTAGTCAACCCAGAGTAATTCTCCATTTGATCATGTAAACGGCTCTTTTTAACAAGTCAAGATTTGTAATACAACCATCTTTATTAGATATGATACAATGTAATTTTTGAGTTTTTGAAATTGTTTTTGTGTTTTTATATCGATTATTAATATAATAATGTAAGTTTTCCTGCAGCTTCAGTATAATCTTTCAATGATGAAAAATAAACAGTTATGAAATATTACTTGGTTTTGAAGCTCATGTATACAATTCGAGTGGCGTGGTTATTTGTTGATCAACTGGTAATTGCAGACTAGTTCATGCAGCCAAATAAAAAATCCAAAAATTCACGGGTGGTACATTTGGGATGGAATGCCATTAATATCTGCATTATGTTATTAAATGACATGTTGTAACCTGTTAGCTAATTACGGACATTTAAGCGCATTTAAGCTCAATCATATTTATTATTAGTTATTTGTTTCTTCTTATGAATTAATTTTTAAACTTACATTATTAAACTTTTAAGCAAAAATTGTGCGATATATTATTTTAAATGTATTTCATTAAATAACTTTTTGTATATTTGGCCTAATTTTGGTGTTGTATTATAGTAGAGAAAAGTCGCTGATACCGACATAGATCTGCTAAGTGACATTCCCTCTTATTTCTCAAAAACTAACACACACACACACACACACACACAATTGCACTTTATTAATACTAATAAAATTATGATCTGTTTAGCTAATTAAAGAAGTACAAACTCATAATTCGTGTATTTGTTTTTATATTAAATCAGCTAAAAACGAATTTTATGAATGCGAAAATAAAATTCTTACGATTTTCTTTTGCAAATTGTGTAATTTAAATAATAGTGACTATATTATTAATAATATTACGTTATTTTTAATGCTTGTAATTTCCTAAATTAGTTTTATTTATATTAGAAATATAAAATGCCTGTTACGGTCAAAACTGGATCTTCATTGCTTTAAATAATTCAATCTTGAATTACTAATATACACTATATATGTACTTGCATATATACTATATTGTAGTCTTTTAGAAGTAAGTAGTCTTTTAGAAGAAAGTAGTCTTTTAGAAGAAAGTAGTCTTCTAGAAGTAAGTAGTCATTTAGATGTTTCTTTATTGTACCGATTATTGCGAAGAATATTAAGGCCTCGGTGCTCTAATGGCTTAGGACGCTCGCCCAACAGATCCGGCCGAGGTAATATTTTTCGCAATAAATTTATTAACAGTTTCAACATATTAACATTTTTATAATATGTTGCTTGAAGATAGCATCAAATTATTTAAATTGCTTGTCAATTTAATTCGCAATTACTAGAGTGGTTTTAATTGCGTTTATAGTCCAGAAAAACAATTCGGCGTGCAGTTTTAAAAGACTGCAATACGGTATATATGCAAGTACATATACAGTGTATATTAGTAATTCAAGAATTGAATTATTTTCATTGATTGAAGATCATAATAGGCATTTTAAATTTCTAGTATTGATTATGTTTCTCACATATGCGAAAATAAAGATTTTTGATATTGTTTATTTATATTATTTTTTCTCTTAGTTTTTTATAAAATACGATCTTAAATTTAAAATTGGGGTGCAGCGTAAACCGCCACACCTGTCTGATCAAAACAGATCATGAGTTAACTTAATCCTTATAATGTTGCTTTATAGTGTCAAATAGTTCTATTGGAGCTAAAGACAATCGTGCACATATGGAAAAATTCTTGAAAAATTATCGCATTACATATTTGCATCTTGCAGAACAGCATAAAGTAAATATGCATATAATTCAAGAAAAATGTTTTGTAATAAAGTGAAAAGATTTTGGAATATTTTGTATACATTCATTTGTAAATACTTTATACAAATATTTCCTATAAAAGAAAAAAAATAGGAATACATAGCATTACTGCTTACTGAGTCAGTTTTGGAGCCCATTTTATCAAACGCTTCATTTTTGCTTCATTTTTTCATTGCCTAATCAAAAAATTAATTATTGCAAAATTGCAAACAGTATTATAAAAATTGTATTTATAAATACAATATTATGTAAAAATTATACTGTCTAATGGAAGACACTTTTTAATTTATATTTATGTTTTTAAAGTTTTTATTTTTACCTTTTGTTTAAGAAATATTGTCTAAACACAAAGTGATATGTCAGTATCGGTGATTTTCCTCTATATTTTGAATTATATAATCTTCTTAACGATCTTTGAACTTATTAAGGTTTCTGCAGATTTCGAATGGGCGGTGAAACTAAACCGTTTCACTTTAAATTTCTTTGGACTTTGGCCTAAGAACGTTCAAAATCCTCGGCAAAAGTTAATGTGCAATTTTCGAGTGCTGATAATTTTCCTGGGAATAACGTTCTGCCTTTTTATTCCTTCAATACATTCATTGATATCAGTTTATGGAGACATTTTACTGATATTAGATAATTTACAGGTTACTATACCAATTATGAGCTGCTTGATTAGAATAATAATTGTTTGGTGGAAAAAAGAAGGTAAATATTATTTTTTGTTTATAAGCTACAAGTATGGTAAATAATATACTAATAAAATATTAAAAGTTGAATATTAATTATTATATTAAGACAGCTAAAATTTGTTCAAGATTGCTCGGGAGCATGATCTTGACAACTTATGTTAAGGTTAAAGTCATTGGAGAATAGTTCCTTATATAATATTAAATAATTATCATTTTGTAAATAAAAATATTATATAAGTTATAAAAGAATATGTTATATTAATCTTTTCAGTATATGCACATGAATATGTATACATACATTTATGTCAATAAAAAACTTTACATATATAAGTATGTAAATAATATTATCGAATTTACATGATACTTTTTTCGTAGATTAAATAATATTTCTGATTTTAAATTATAATATTTTATTATGCTTTAAACTTTAAAGAATTAAAAAAATATAACTGCATTTCATATGCTTTTTATGGTTTTATGATTGATTTTAATATATCTTTGCTGTAAAACGTGCAAAAAATTATTTTCTTTTTAAGCTGTTATACCGATTATAAACATGATCATAAAGGATTGGAAAAAAATAAAAAATGATCAAGAGAGAAATTTAATGATACGAAGAGCGCAAACTGCACGAATCATTATTATTTGTTCCTACTGCATAATGGCATTACAATGGACTTTTATTTCTGTGCTGCCAATTTTTGGAATGGCAATGAGACTGACATCCAATATTACTGATCCAGGAAAGATACCAATGCCTTTACAATCTCACTACATTTACGATATAACAAAAAGTCCACAACGTGAATTAACATTTATTAGTCAAGCAGTTTATTTACTTATCGCCGCGATGGTTTATAGTGGAGTGGACAATTTTCTCAGTCTCATGGTTTTTCATGTATGCGGACAATTGGACATTCTTGCGAATCGTATGCAACATTTGGATAAATACAAAAATTATCCCAAAGTACTGAAACGCTGCATAGAAAAACATATTCGTTTACTTAGGTTTGTTACTTGTAAGAAAACATATATGTATGTGATAATCTATACAAAATATGATTAAACATTTTTGGTACATAATGTCTTTCACAGAGCTATTAATATCATTGAAGATACTTATAATAGAATACTTCTCTCTTTATTTATATATTTTGCGATTATCTTTGCTTTCTATGGATTTCGGATAATTAGCGTAAGTATTATTGAAATTGAAAATTGATAAAAAAAAAATTTATGTATAAATTATCGTGCTGAATAATTATGTATATTTTAATGATTATAATTAATAAGTTATTACATTTAAATTTACATGTTATTACAAAATTAAATATTAATACTAATAGGAATAATTATGTTGTATCGTTTATGTTTTTTCTTTAATTAGCTATTCAATGAGGGAAATGATATGTCGATCACTCACTTAATCTATTTCATATGGACTATTATCAATTTATTTGCACACATGTGCCTATATTGTGTCCTTGGGGAAATTTTAGTGGCTCAGGTAATGAGTTACATGAATATTTTATTTTATTTCAGAATTGCAAGTTTGTGTGGAATGGCTCTAAAAGTACTTTTAATATTTTTAAGTGCAACAAGATATACTATGAGGCATATAATAGTAAATGGTACACTATGGATCCAAAAGTTGCAAGAGATTTATTACTCTTAATGAAAAGAGGTTCTAAACAGATTTGTCTTACTGTTGGAAAAATGTATCCTGTTACATTGGCCACATTTTGCAGTGTAAGATATTTTAATATCTATTATAATTATAATATTTATTATATTAAAATATTATTCAGTGTCATAAAAATTTAGTTGAAATTTACTATACTTATATAAAATTTGAATTATTTATTTTATATACATGTACAATCTTAATCAAACTTTATTTAATTATTAAATTTATATTGTTAATCATATTATTATTTACAAAATATATTTTTTAGTTAATAAAAACATCCGTTGGTTACATATCTGTTTTGCATACAATAAGAAAATGATACAAAGTATGAAAAATGGGGAAACTTTTTGCCAATATTATGCAATTTCTGATAGAAATGTGCCGACATGTCATTTGCAAATAAATATATCTTAACGCATTATTCAAGTAGAATATGCCTAGAATTCTATTAAGCATCTAAATGGTAAAAATGTAGTATAAAAAATATCGGAAAATTTAATTGACTTGATAATCATAATCTGCTTAGATATTTGTTAAATTGTAAGCCAATCTTTTTTTTACATT